ACAAAGATAAGAAAGCATGATGCTTTCAGGTCCTGAAAAATACAGGTCCAGGGTTACCACTGATAAACAAATATGCTGAAATTTTGTTCAGCCTTTTAACAAAATATTGCAGATGATTTAAACACAGACCAACCGCAGGAAAATATATGTATTTTTGCCTGGTTATATTTAATAAAATTGTACTGAAATGTTAACATATGATTTTAAAATGCACATTTTGACAAAATTTAGGGGGAAAAAAAAGAGTTTTAAGATGCAGCTATATATTACAGCTATAATTTGCAGTATTTTTCCAGAATGGGCTTTCCTTAATTCTGTGAGTTTTAACAAAAGGTAAGAGCCCATGATATTTGCCTGTTGAATATCTTTAAAGTCACTGTATTTAATGTCAGAAAAAAAGGTGGATTGGGTCCTACCAGTTAGTTTTACTTCTGTAGCACTGCTCAAATTTATAGAAAATAAAAATCGTACATACAAGCTATAGGAACAATGCAGAGATATATTTGCTATTTTCTGTTTTATGAGTGACAAAGTATCCCTCAATGGCAAAGACAAGTACTTAAATTATATTTCAACAACTCTACCTACATTGTCCAGAAATTCTTGACATCTTGAACAGATAAAAATGATTTATGGTGTTACAATGATAAAAAAAAATAATGTGCATTGTTAATAGCAATCAGCAAAGAAAGAAAATATTCAGACACATCACTTTTCCCTCAAAGTCTTAGGCTATGCTTAGTTTGATTATTTTGAGCTATGTGATCAATTAAGGTAGTGACTGCAGCACAGCACATCAACCCTCAGGAATTCTGCGCAGCCACCAAGGAAGTACAGGTCTGCAGTGGATGGTAAAGGTTCCTTTGTGCTGAAGGTCCAGGGGCAGCTTGTCAGAGGCAGTTCTAAACATTCACTGTGCACCCATACGAATTTTTCTAAACCCTGTATTCAAAATAGTTTCACTGGTGCTGGATCACTTGTTAACAGTCTTCACCTTTCTGCCTAATGAACGCTAATTCCAGGGGCCATTGGTACACAGAAGCATTTTACAACTGTGCTATCAATAATTGTGTAATCATGTAAGCATGAAAATGGAGAATGGGCTAGAAGCTGGCAAGTTCCTGGGTACTGCATATTTGATCAGTTCTGTGAAGTGGTTATGTAAAAAATATTCTCACCTTCTCTTTATTAAATTGGTATTTAGTTTTACTTGTGGAATTAATTTACATCTTCAGTCCAAAGGATTTATGTCTTTGTATTGTTTATAAACTACTAAGATACAGCCACCTACAGCTTGCTTGCTAAGTAAAGCAGGAAAAAAGGATATTTTCCTGCTATTGTTAGTATTTTTTGGATTTTTCCCCCCAGTTATTAATAGTTTGCCTTCTTTTCACAGCTTTGCATGTATTTAAAAATAAAAAACAAACTCATCATCGCAGTCCTGGAAGGACATTTTATATACTAGATTAAGGTCTGACTCTGCTATTAAAATGTATTTTAAGTTGTACAAACTGACCCCTTGACCTTTCCCTGCGGTACTTCTCACAAGAACAAAGAGGAAAAAAAAATATTGAGTATTTCTTACAAATGTGGCTGAGGAGATTCTTCGGGGAAAAAGAAAATGTTATTTTTTTCTGCTTCCTACAAGGGCAGTGATTTCCACATGTCTATCTGTGCTGGAGAAAAAAAGACTAAGGAAATATTGGATGTGCTTATGTCGATTAAAAGAACTTAATTCAAAGATGGCAAAAATTAGGAATTGCTGGGATTCTTATAATGAAAAGGAATGTAGAGAGTTTGAGTTTATGGTGCCTGTCATATCTGGGTCATTTACTTGGCTGATGTACTTTGTACGCTACTAACACTAATCTACAGATATCAACACACTATAAACTAGGCTGGAGAAAGACCATGGGGCGACAAGTTTTTAAGCTTTTAATAGTAAAGCTCTGAAAACCGTAAAATACCTCGGTAAAAACAAAACAAACAAACGAACAAACAAACCCCATCCCCCAAACCAAAAATATAACCCAAAAATTTTTAAAAATCAACCCAAGGGGTTTGATTGTTTAACTTCAGCCCATGCTCCGTCGCTTCAGTGACTTCAGAGCGGAGGGCGAAGAGCAGGAGTCGCGGGCAGTTTGGATGATGCGATCGGTGAAGAATAACCCGCAGTGCCCTTCTTCATGCTGAGGAAAACCACAGGGAACTTAGCAGCTCACCGAGCAGTAGAGCGGCAGAGCCGAGCACCGCGCAGGATGCGGCCGCCGCTCCGCCCTCGCTCCGCCGCCGCGCCACTGGGGGGAGTCGGGGCGCTTCCGAATGAGCCGCGCCTGCGGCGGGAGCGGCCCCGCGCGCCGGGCCGGGGCAGGCACGGAACGGGAGGGGATGGGACGGGACGGCCCCGGCGCTGGCCGCCGTCACCCTGGCAACGCCGGCGGGTGGGAGCTGCGGGAGGAGGCTCCGGTCCCGGCCCGCCCGCGGGGGCCGCTCACCTGCCCGCGCCGCGCCGCTCCCTCCCGCACCCGTGGGCATTTGGCGGCAAAACGTCGGCCCGGCGCCCACCATGCCCCGCCGCCGGCGTCGGGGTGTCGGCGGCGGCGGGTGGCGGAGCGGAGCCCCCTCCGCGGCTGCGGAAGGTCCGCCCGCGCCTCGCCGAGTCCCGCTGTGCCGCGCTGTGCGGCCCGGGGCGTAGGTGCCGAGTCCCGCCGCGGGGGAACGCGGGGAGTTTGCTGTTTCGATGGAATTTCTCGGCACACTGTTTTTCGTGGCAGGCGGAAACTCGTCCACACGCGTGTCCAGCGCAATGCGTGTCGCAGCATCCGGCCATGAAATGGTTACCTTTAGCAGTAGGGCTGCACAGGAACCAATCCAAGATCTTAGAAATTCAATTAGTCAGGTTTCCAGAAGGTGGGGTTGGGTATTTTTTTGGCATGGAGGAGGAGAAGCTCAGGACGACGCCTCCCTTCTCGTGTTGCAAGCCAATCAGGTCGAGGTGTAAAAAAAAAAAAAAAAAAAAAAAAAAAAAAGGGAATCTACTCTACTATAAGCAAAAGCAAAAGGCAGGCTACGTCCTGACTGGCTGCGGCGGCAAATCGCCCCCTTTCCAAAGTAAACTGCATGCAAAAATCCCACATGATCAAGCAGCAGCGCCCGTGTTTCGAGCTGGCTGCCTGCACCTCCTCCTCGTCTTCATCCCTCACGCACACCGGCGCCAGCCAGATCGCACCCTGGCGTGTGCATGTATGTATGCGTGCTCTGTGTATGTGTGTGTGTGTGTGTGTGTGTCTGTCTGTCTGTGTCCATGTCTGTGTCTGTGTGTGCGTGCGTACCTCGCTGTACCGCGTATGCATCTCTGAGGCGGCCTGTCGCACATACGCATGCACAGAGACAGCTCAGCACGCCAGGCTCCTAGCTTTTCCAGGTTGCTGATGTCGGATTTATACGCAGTGAAGGGACCGGTCATTGCAAAAGGGGGTGTGACTGTTTAAAGATTTTTTTTCCTCCCTTAAAGCATTTTTTTTTTTCAAAACCGACTTTTGCCCCTCCAATCCTCGTCGCTCTTTACGATCCCTCCCTGCCTGCCGCTGCATTCAAGTTTATTTATTTGCCTGCTGGCGTAGTATATTTTTCCTTGCCGCTCTTGCTGCTGCTTCAGAGGGAAAAGGGGAGCAGCTGTTGGGCAAGACCGAGAAGATCTGGGGTGGTTGTTTTTTTTTTCGATCTCCCTATGTAGTCATCTGAGGGGTGGATTCTTTTACTCTCACCTCCTCCCTGATCCTTCAACCTGTTTTGTCCTTCCGCAGAAGTTGATGTTCACGGGATTGGACCCTGCTTTATCTCACAGAGGCTCCAGGAGGCTGAATCAGATTTCCGCACCTCGCCGTATCGCTCCATTCGTTTCCCGAGCAGGAGAAGCCAGCCAAGACCAGTATCACCAGAGGAGTTTGCAGGCTTGATTTTGCACTTCGAGATTTTGCTTTTCCCCACGCCCTCTCATAAAACATTTTTTTTTTTTTTAACGTTCATCTCCTTGGTTTCCACGCCGCTGTATTTCTTGGATTGGCCGTTCTTTTTTTCCCTCCCCCCCCGCCTCTTTTTTTTTTTTTTTTTTTTTTTTTTTTTTTTTTTTTTTTTTTTTTTTTTTTTTTTTCCCTTCGCCGTTGCTCAGTCCTTGGTGCATCCACCGCCCAGGAACAGGAAGGACAAGTAAACCACTCCACAAAGTCTCCTCCAAAACACTCTGTGCTGCAGAACAGGCTTCTCAACTCCGTCAGCGCAGCGAGCAAACTCCTCAGGGCTTTTGCTTCTTCCCACTTCCCCTCCCCCCCCCCCCCCCCCCTTTTTTTTCATTTGCGGGGAGCGGAGGGCCAGAAAGGAAGACACAAACTTTGTGCTTTGACATCTGCGGGTACTTCTCCTCCCGCTACCAGCCAGAGGCCTTTAATATATTGCCAGGACCCTCGTGGGCCTCCAGGGGAAAGATCTCCTTCTCCTCCTCCCCGCTCCTCTCCCTCGTCTCCCGCCCGTTCGTTCCTTCCATCCCCGCTCACTCCGGCCGTCAGCGCCGCTGGGGCCGCTCGCAAGGGGCGGAGGAAACGCTGCTCTCGCCCGCCCGCCCGCCGCGCCGGTGGGCCGGTGTATGTCGTGCCGTGGGCTTCGTGCGGAATTCCAGGTGAATGAGAACTGCTCGCCGCTTGCCGCCGCCATCTGTCTCGGTCCCCACCACCCCCTGCCGGGGTGAGGCTTCTTGAGGGGCCGCGGATCGCCCTACCCGCCTGCTGCTCGTCCGCGGGGCTAGGCGCCCTCAGCTCGCTGCGGCGCAGCACGCCGCGGAGCCCACCGCCTCCGCACTTACTTTTTATTAATTCACCCCAGAACTCCCGTGCCCCGGCTCGGTTCTGCCTGCCTTCTCCTCCGATTCCCC